GGCATTTCTTCGACCCACGCGGCCTGGCCTGGCCTGGCCACGCCCACCCGGCGCCGCTCTGCCCATTGTGGACACCCTCTGCTTCGGCCGCTCTGCCTGTGTGCAGGGGCTTGTTCTCCCGGCGCGGCTGGTAGTGGAACAGGAGGCACCCCGTGGCCGCGGACAGCAGAGCGGCCGGAGCAGAGGGCGTCTGAGATGGACGGAGCAGCGCCGGGTGGGCTTCGGCCGCTCTGCCTGTGTGGGAGGGATAAGCCTCCAAGGTGGGTCTTCTGCAGAGCCGAGCGGCTGGAGCAGAGGGTGTCCAAAATGGGCGGAGAGGCACCAGGTGGCCACGTCCACCCGATGCTGCTCCGTCCATCTCAGACACCCTCTGCTCCGGCCGCTCTGCTCTCTGCGGCCACGGGGCACCTCCTACTCCACTACCGGCCGCTCCGGGAGAACAAGCCCCTGCAGCAAAAAGGTTTGGAATATCAGTGCCAAGTTTTTAAAGCTTTTAAACAGGGGCTGGATGGCCATCTGTCAGGGGTGATTTGAATGCAATATTCCTGCTTCTTGGCAGGGGGTTGGACTGGATGGCCCATGAGGTCTCTTCCAACTCTTTGATTCTATGATTCTAAGTTTGCAGGTGAACTATAAATCCCAGCAAATACAACCCCCAAACGCCACCAGTGTTCACATATTGAGTGTCAGTGCCAAGTTTGGTCCAGATCTATCATTGAGTCCACAGTGATTTATGGAGGCAGGTGAACTACAACTCCAAAACTCAAGGTCAATGCCCACTAAACCCAGTATTTTCTGTTGTTCATGGGAGTTCTGTGTACCAAGACTGGTTCAATTCCATCATTGGTGGAGTTTAGAATGCTCTTTGATTTCAGGTGAACTATAAATCCCAGCAAATACAACCCCCAAACGCCACCAGTGTTCACATTTGGGCATATTGAGTATCAGTGCCAAGTTTGGTCCAGATCCATCATTGTTTGAGTCCACAGTGCTCTCTGGATGTAGGTGAACTACAACTCTAAAACCAAAGGACACTGCCCACCAAACCCTTCCAGTATTTTCTGTTGGTCATGGGAGAACTCTGTGTCAAGTTTGGTTCAATTCCATCGTTGATGGGGTTCAGAATGTTCTTTGATTATAGGTAAACTATAAATCCCAGCAACTACAACTCCCAAATGACAAAATCAATTTTTTTTTAGTGAAGGACATACATTGGGTTGTTAGGTGTCCAGTGGTTTTTGAGTTCTGTTAATCCCACAAACGAACATTACATTTTTATATAGATTTATTTCCTATATTTATACCCTGCCCTTCTCCCCCTGCAACAAGGGGACTCATGCTTACATATTCCAAAAACCACTTTCAAAAAGACAGAAAATAGAATGTTTTCCTCATTTTAATTGGAACTATTTTATCTTCAGAAATGCTAAAACCATGCTTTATGTTCAGATTGTAACAATAAAAATACATGATGCATATCAGATATTTACATTACAATTCATAACAGTAGCAAAATAGGACATGTGCAGTGTGCATAGGAATTTGGTCATCATTTAAAAAACTATAGTCCGGCCCTCCAATAATCTGGGGGACAGTAATCCGCCCCCCCCCCCATTTAAAAAGTTTGAGGACCCCTGCCCTACACTATCCTGGCTTCCCCCTAACTCATCACACAGGGAGAAGCCTCAGGAAATTGGCTCAACCCATTTTTCCCTATGGAAAGATAGGAAGACTTCTATCATGCACCAACTACTATTTTTTTGCGGCGGCAGTGGCTTTTTGGCACTTTTGCCATGGAGCTGCCCTGGAAGTACTTTTCCAGTGTGGTGGGAGCTGTTAGGCTCCATGGCGAAACTGCAAAAAGCCATCGCCACCATGGATTTTTAGCCCATTTTAGGAGGTCCTAAGAGAAATATATTATCACAGACACAGACAGATGGGCTGTTGATGACATTGTAGTTCATCTGAACTTCAACTTCAGGCCAAACTCCAATGTTTCTGGCATCTTAGAAATGTATATAAGGACCCCTGACATGGTTATTTGTCTTGAAAGCACAGTTGTTGAAGAGACAATCTTTCAACCTGCTGCATGGCACAATAACTTACTAAAAAACATGACTCCTTTATCAGGAGTGTATAAAAAGACAATAGCGCTTAGATTGCTGAGCATGTGCCTGTTAATAACTGTTTGTTGTTGTTAAACGTTCTGCATTTCTCAAGCTTGTTTGAGCTACTTCTTTCAGGAAAAGATAATTTCAGTCATCATAAATAAGGGCTCCTGCAGATAAGGTCCTATGTAGGGAGATATTTGTTGCTGCAGTTCTTAAGGTTTTTTTAGAAATCAAATCATACTTCTATTGTAGCAAGTCTATTTCTCTGTCAAAATCTTGCACCAGCTGCAACGTTTAATTCTCACCTTCAGGTGGGATGCTTTTTAACTCCAAGACATGTTAGAACAGTATGTTCCTTTTTCTTCTCCTATTTTTAAAAATTATTTATTTAATTTGAAGTCATAATGGCTGAGTGAAATTGAAGTTCTGCATTATAAACTGTATACAGGGTAGGGGGACTACCTCAGCAAAAACAAAAAGTTTTTTAAAAATGGAAGAAACTAATGGAGGTTTCAAAAATACTTACAAGTTGTTCCCAAAAAGAATAGAATGAGCAGACACAGAAATGATAGAAACAACCAACTCCAAAGGAGATATATGATGAGAAGTAATATTTCTTTAGTCCAATATGAGACTAACTTCAAACTAAAACCAGAAATGGAGCAGGAGTCCGTCAGTGCAGAAGGCAAGGTACTGCCATTATACAGTGTTTCAAAATCATAGACCCCGTATCAAAGCAGTATATTTTACAATGCCAACAAGTTTGCAGCTACACACAAAGTTACAAACGGCTTAATGAGTTATCATATTGAAGCCATTTTAATCCAGAAACAAATTCAAAAAATAACCCTGCAAATGGAGAATATGGTATCTCATTCGGCCTTTTGTTGCCATCTTGAGAATGATTGAGGCTACGGGTTGTGTGTGTATGTTTGTGTTAGGAGAGGCATCTAACAATAATCATTTGAAACTCTATGCTCAACTTTCAAGGAGTAAGACTTTTATTCATGGCCAGTCTGCAGTTGCAGAGACACAGAGATTTCAAATTGGGTCCATCTTTTTGAAACACTCTGTATTATGATAAACAATCCAGTTACCTTACTTTAGTTCTCCAGAAGGTACAATAGGCAGAACAACATATTGCATGCTGCAATAATCAAAAGTGGTGTTTACCAAACTACAAATAAGCAATAAAAAGGATTCCGAGTGACTACTCTAGTTTTAGTAAAGAATCCAAGATTATCCCCAGATTATAAACCTGATCTTTTATGAGGAAGATCCTTTTCAAAACAAAAGGAAAAATTATTTACTGGACAAACCTCCCATAAACAGTATCTGACTTGGAAGTCATGTAGAGAAGACCAGCTCATTGATCCTTTCTCAAACCTGATTTAGTTTCTTCATCTTTTAAAAAAGGAATGGCATATATATTTCTCTAAGAAATCCCAATTTAGTTTGCTGGAAAGAGGAAAAAAACTCCCTTTCCCATAGGAGGAAAAATACTCCCTTTCCCATAGCCATCCAAAAGAACACACTTCCCTTTGACAATCTGGAGCAGGCCCGTAGCCAGGATTTTGTTTCCGGGGGGGGGAGGGGTGAGTTTGGTTCGGGGGGGGGGGGCTGAGCCTGAGAGAAAGAGAATCTACCCTAGCAAACCTTTTGTATCATTACCCCAATACCCCCATGCAGATCATGATATGAATAAACATAACAGTCTAAATAATGTACCAGTAAGGCCTTCTCGCGGACCACCATGAGAATTTCCAGCTGGTGCAAGCCCCCCCCCCCCCAGCTACATGCCTGATCTGGAGTGGAATCACTCTGAGACTGGATCTACACTACCATATAATCCAGTTTCAGGATTCAAATTAACTGCCTTGAGCTGAATTGCATAGCAGTGTGAACTCATATAATCCAGTTCAATGTCATTTTAAAGTTTTAAAACCAGAGATTTGTAACATCTAAAATTTGGAGGACCTAAATAGTTTGAAGTCTTGCCCTGATGTCGATACTTTTAATTTGATTGTGGCTGGATGTCAAATTTTGTTTGTATAGTAGGATTTAAAGTGTATTTATTGTTTATATTTTATCATTTATCTTATTTTAACTTGAGGGGTTTTGCTTTAAACTATACATGTATGTTCATTTTATTTTTCCGTTGTGTTTATTTTTATTGATTTAGCCTAATTTCTATTGTATACCTTATGTGTTTGTTTGCACTGTTGCTTTTTGTAAGCCACCTTAAGTCCCCTCAAGGAGATGGGCTGGAATATAAATAAAGATGATGATGATGATGATGATGATGATGATGATGATGATGATGATGATTATTATTATTATTATTATTATTTCCAAACCATAAACAGTACATTCAGTTAAAGAGGCTGTTGGTCTGATCCAGCAGGGCTTTTCTTGTGTTTTATGTCCTACCTATAAGCTATACATTAAAAGTCAATTGAACTGTGCAATATAAGATGAAGTGTCTCCTGAACTGTCTCTCCTTGTCATCAGAATATAAAAATGGCTTTTCTTCTGGTGGTGTCAAGCCTTGTGAATTTTCTCTTCTGTCTCTCTGTTCCTCTTCTCCTCTGTTTCTCTCTGTGTTGAAGATTTCGTAAGTTTGGAGCAGTGTGAAAGGCACATATTTTCTGTTTCAGCATCCAGCTGTCTCAACATCTTGACTTTTAAAATTATTATTATGTTTATGCTAATCAACAGCTAATTAATTAGCAGTTGCTATAATGCTATGGACAACAGGATGAACAATAAATATTCCTTTAATTTAATTATATGCACACATGTATATGAAAAATAGTACTTTAAGAATATGCCTCCATAAGTAAATATATGCACAAAATGTAGAAGCAAATTTGATTCTTTGGTACTTACAATTATCAGGAGAAGAGCCGTAGCAAAGAAGATCAAGAAAACTTGCTCCTCTTAATCCTTTGTCATCTTTACGCTCCCTGATGCAATCACAGAATCCAAGAAAAGCAGTTTTTTGCAAATCTGCACTAAGGCCATGTAAAGAAATTTCTTTCAGTATACAGGTGTATATGTATGCCACTTGCCACTGCCAACATGAGAAGCTTTCCTTGTCACTCGTTTGCTACAGAGAGATCAACAGGTAATTAAATATGTACCAAGCCAGTAGCCATACTACATTTCCAAGAAATAAACTAGATATCTACAAACATGATTGAGACCTGCTTAATTTGCATATTATCTGCACTGTAATAGCAGTATACTCCACGTTAATAGTCATTGCAAAATCCTTTGGAATCCTGGGGTTTGCAGTCTGAAGAAAGGCATTTAGAACTGTTTGCCAGAGAACTCTTGGGCTTCATTAAACTACAAATCCCAGTATTCTAAAGGATGCTGCCATACAGGCATGTAGCCGGGGGGGTGGCTTGGGGGGCTTCAGGCCCCCCCCCCGAAATTCTCATGGTGGTTCGCGAAAAGGCCTTACTGGTGCATTACTTAAACTGTTATGTTTATTCATATCATGATCTGATCACTATACTCAATATATCCCATATGCATGGGGGTATTGGGGTAATGATACAAAAAGTTTGCTAGGGTAGACCCTCTTTCACTCAGACTCAGCCCCCCCGAAACTCAGCCCCCCCCAAACCCCCCCCTGAAAAAAATTCAGCCCCCCCCCCCAAACGAAATCCTGGCTACGGGCCTGCTGCCATATCAGTTAAAGTGGAATATAGCACTAGGACAGTGTAGTATGACAAGGATATATGTTAGTTCAGCCAGCCTGAAGTCCCTCAAAGAGAACAAGTGCAACTTTCTACAGTGCAGGGTAAATGAAGTAATATACAGTGCTATGCAAAATGGAGTACAATTTCAAGTTCAGAATCTAAAATTGCTAAGGTAGCATTGAATTGTGGTATATCAGTATTCAAATATCATATAGCAAGCATATTCACACATTCGATTTTTTATAATACATCTTCTAACTTAACTATTGGGAAATAGGCTATATTTTTAGACTACACTGAGCATGCTGACTGAGGACTCTATGAAATGGAGTGGATCTACACTACATAAGTGATGGGCAAACTCCCATACCGGCTGTTAGGAATTGTGGGAGGTGAAGTCCAAAACACCTGGAGGGTCAGAGTTTGCCCATGCCTGATCTACACTGACCATAATTCAATTCAAACTGCATTAAACATATGGCAGTGTAGATTTAGCCTCATAGACAAAATAGCAGACTCTCCCAAATTCTGGTCCGATTCAAAACTAAATCATGTTGTATTCAGTATGGCTTATTCTCAAGCAAATAAGTAGATCACTTCCTTCCAATGTAATGTTTTTAATGAACAATTTGCCAGCCAATGACAAAATTACTCTGGCTTTTACCTGCTTACAAAGAAGTATTGAGCTTGAAATAAAATCTTTCATTAAATCCATTAAAACTTTCAAGCAAGGAAGACTCAATTTGGCAGCCTCTCCAAGAACCATCAAGCTCAGTACAGATTCCAACCTACACATTTCAGGACAGGAAAAAAAACATTGTTAGACCAATATATACATTTATCTATATAGAAATGTACAGTAACACTGAAAGTAATCCACTGCAGTTTATTCAAATTATTTATTTTATTTATTTATTTACTTCGCTTATATACCGCAATTCTCAGCCTAATGGCAACTCATTGTGGTGTCAAATTATAGACTTATTCAAATGTCCTAAAGTCTGAAAAAGGTACATTTGTATAGAGGAAAAAGCCTGGGGAGGATAAGGGGCTGGGAGGGGGATGGATGCTCTTCAAGGACAGCATGTAGCTCCCCCCCCCACCAAGGAAAGCCCGGGGTTGTTGGAGGGTATGGAGACTAAATTCCAGAAGAAACTGAGATATAATATCCCAGTTCCTCCCAAGATTTAGTGATATCTGGAAGGGGCCTTAGACAGAAGAGGAATGTTTTAGAAATAGCAGAACAAACTCTGATGATGTAAAGAAATGAAAAATGAATCCAGTAGGTTTCATTGACTACCATGAAGGCAGTGGATGTGTGGTTTAGCTTTGCTTTGGCCAAAGTGCTGAAAAATGTAAGAATTAAAAAAAATGGTTACATAGTGCCCCTTTCTTGTAAAAGCTCTTAAACCATCCAACCAACCCAAAATGAGCAAGACTCTAAAAGATAATTCGGTGCATTCATTTAATTTATTTAAGGGAATATCACAATAGTGCAATGCAACTTCATTTGATGCTCTGCCTTTCTTGGTTGTAACAGAGTTAGCCAACTTTGGGTCAGATGCTTTACAAGAAGAGGGGTTAGTGCCTCCTAATGCTCATGGCCTAGTCATTGCAAATACAATGGTAGCTCCTCATTAGAAAAAAACTGGACCAACCCTACTTACAACTTGTTAAAGTACACAGTATATCAGCATATTGAAGCTGAACTGAAAGACTATATATTATGGCTAAGTATGACACCTCATGAATTTATAAATTGAAGAGTTTGCCTTGGTGCCTGGACCTTTCCTCATAAACTGGAGATCTTGAGATCTTTCCATAAGGAGGACAGATACAGACTTCTTGTGTGCCTTCATGTTGTTTCTGAGTATTGCAGATTCTTCTTAGCAAGTTTTGTTTGGGTGGTCCCATTGCTGTTTTGGGGGGGCTAAAAAGTGTGACTTGCCCAAAGTCACTCAGTGGGCTTTCATGTTCTGGTGGGAATCTGAACCCTGGTATCCCACCCAATACTCAAACCTGGTACCGTTAATTTCCTCAGGATGCACCACAGCAAAAACTAGTGTATTCAGAAAGTAACTAATTTATGAAACACAAAGCCGTCCTTACATTATTCTATTACAAGGATCATTCACACACAAACAGAACATCAAAAAAAAAACAGACAAAAGAAAGAAAATAATAAGAGCATGGTCACCAAACTGAGCAAATGCAGCAATTACAAATGGAGCATCCTGTGACTGGAAATCTAAAATGCCCCCAACTTGTCCACATGAGTGGCTGAGATAGTAACACACTTGTGTTCTGATGGTTCTGTGTACATAAGCTTTGCATCATGCATAAAAATATTACAAATATTTTTATAGAATTACCTTCATCCTATGTGTATAAGATGTATAGGGAACATAAATCAATTTCATGTTTAGACTTGGGCCCTGTTTCTAAGTTATCTCGTCATGTAAGTTTATGCAAATAAAAATATTCCAAAATTTAGAAATATCCAAAACACTTCTGGCCCCAAGTATTTCAGATAAGAGAGAATACGGGGTAACACAGTGATACTTAAAGCCAAAAGAGAACTGATGCTAAATAAAAAGACAGGAAGATGGCACAAACCAGACTGACATTTAAGGATCCTAATCGAATTGGAAAACTGGAATGTAAATTATGTTTTTGCTGGAGGCAGCACCACTATTAAAATCATTCCACTGGCTGCCAATAGGTTCCAGGCAAAATGTTACTTATTACCTTTAAAGCCCCACATGGCTTGGATGCTGGTACCCTATGGAATTGCCTCCTCCCATATAATTTGCCCTGTAAACTGAGGTGCTCTGGAGAACATTTACTTCAGCCAGTCAGGTGTAGGGTGGAAATTGTTACCCAGAGGCGTCAGGATCCAGTTTCCAGAGCCCAGAATTGAGCACCGGAAACTGAACTCCTAACATTTTGCCCTGATAAGAACCCTGCAGCTGGTGGCCTTGAAGAAAGCAGTTGTGTGGTGGCGGGAAGCTGTGTGCGGGGTTCTGGATCTGGCGGGAATTCACCGTTTGAACAAGGGGGAGGGTATATAAGGGGATGCCTGCTGCGTCCAGGCAATTCCGGCTTTTTTGTGCCTTAGTATCTGACAGTAAAGTTCTTTGTTTGATTACGATGGAAGTCTCGTGTCATTATTGAGCCCAGCTGTTGTGAGCTGACATTAAGCCGGAATTCCTCGCACCATCCTGCAGCAGTAGTGAGGTGCTATGATGGAAGAGGGGAGCGAATCCCCCTTGGAGGAGGAAGAAGACACCGTCCTCGGAGCGATGGGAGGAAAACTAACATCGCCTCTCGGCGAGGCCGAGGCAGAGCTCGAAAGAGTGGCGGCGCTCGCCTCCTCAACAGCATATGCTAACCCTAACGGGGTCACCCAGAGGCGAACGAGAGAGGCCGCAGGAAGAGGCAGCAGCGAGATAGACTTCACCTCCCCCCAAAGGTATGGCTGCTTGGAGGAGAGAGTGACTGCCATGGAAACCACATTAGCCATGATGTCGAGGCTGATGGATCGCCTGGCCCCCCTGCTGGAGGAACCCCAGCCCCGCGCGGAGTCGCCATGGGAGGGGAGCGCGGGGAGCAGCCAGGTCCTGGGGGCGAGACGTAGGACCCAAGCAGCTCCGAGCGACGGAGGAGAGGGAATGCCACGGGGAGCCGTGACAACCCCGCAGACCCTTCCTGTAGCAGGCCCAGCCGGGGCAGGACGTGGCACGGGGCAACCCGGAGCGTTGTTTGGACAACCCGCACCCCCGGGAGGAATGGCACACGCAGGCGCCCAGGGGATGCAGCCCCAAACCCTGCAGCAGAGGAGAGAGGAGCTGCGTGCAGAGTTTGGAGGGAAGTCCGAAGACCTTGATTTCTTCCTGACGCTGGTACGAGGTTATCTGGAGGACAACATGCATACTTTCAGATCGGAGGCCAGCCGAGTGAGAGCCGTAGGGGTGGCATTGAGGGGAGGCGCAGCAAGTTGGTACGTCCAGCTCCATGCCCGACGCGACCCATGCCTGGGGTCAGCGAGGGCGTTCTTAGCTGCATTGGAAGCGCGCTTCCGGGACCCCCTCAAGCGCATCAAGGCGAGAGATAGGCTGAAAACCATCACTCAAGGCCAGAGAAGTGTATCGGAGTTCGCCGAGGAATTCCAGTTGCTCGCCGAAAGGGTCCCAGAGTGGTCAGCCCAAACCAAAGTCGAAATCTTTAAGGAGGGCTTGAGAAAGGAGCTGCTGGCCTGGGCGCTTCACCGTGACGACCCGGGGACGATCCAGGGGTGGATCCAGCTGGCAGGACGTGTGGAGACAACGTTGGCCCAGGTCAAGAGGCACCGAGGAGCAGCAGCGCAGACCGGACCGCCCAGGACGGAGAACCGAAGGCCCAGTGGAGAGCCACATAGAAAGGAACCGGCGAGCGGAGAGAGGAGCAGGCAAAGCGGATGTTTTGTTTGCGGCCGTTTGGGCCACCGAGCATTCGGGTGTTGGCAGAGGAGGGGGGGATCCCCCGCAGCTCAAAGCAAAGCCAGCAGCCGGGGAAAAGGCAGAGGAATGCACTTTCCTTGAGGCCCCGAGGGGAACTCTGGTGAGTCACAGCCCTGGAATGTTAGTCTTCCCCATCAAGCTGGAGGGGGTAGATAAGTGGGCTGGCTGCAAAGCCTTTGTAGACTGCGGGTGCTCCAGGAACATAATGACCCCCGAGTTAGCCGAGGAGCTGAATTGTAAGAAGGTAGCCCTGCAAACCCCCATAGCCTTCACCCAACTAGATGGATCGGTTGCAACAGGAGCCCCAGCAAAGTTTGAGGTTGGGGGGTGAAGTGCAAGATAGGCAGATGGGAGGGCGAAGTTGCGTTCATAGTCTCCCCGTTAGCAACATACCACGTAATCTTGGGGATGCCATGGCTACAGGAGGCGAACTCTAGCATAGATTGGGAAGAGAGAAGCTTGAAATTCCCTGAGACACCAGCGGGGGTGGGCAACCGAGGAGAGAAGAGCACGCCGCCTAAGAATTGGGTGCAAGACATCCCCCCCCAATACCGAGACTTTGCGAATGTTTTTGATGAAAAGGAAGCTGATAGGCTACCCCCAAAAAGGAGGGTTGAGGTGAAGATTGAACTGAACAAAAATGGAACACTCCCTAAAGCCAAAATCTACCCGATGTCCGCTAAGGAGATGGACGAGTTGAAAAAGTACATTGATAAAAACCTAGCGCGGGGGTTCATCGAACCTTCGCCCCCGTGTTATTTAGACGGAAAAAGGACGGTTCACTCCGGCTATGTGTGGATTACAGGGGGTTAAATGCTGTGAGT